TGACACTGGTGAGCAGAACCAAATACTCTCCACCGCTGACGAGCCTTTCCGTCACAATAGTGGATATTCCATTGTCAGATTCCAGGGAGTACTTTGTCTTCTTGCCATTGTGGACCACATCATACTGCAGTGTCCAGGGGGCCTCGCCTAAGAAAGCAACATCAAGAGTTACTGGTTCGCCGAAACAAGCTTTACGCACAGCCTTAGGACCCAAAAAGTGTGCAGAGGCTGGTGGTTTCACATCTTGCTCGAGTACAGGGACCTTGTCCTGGAGACATTGGGGGCCATAGACCGTGTCTGCAATGTCTAGAAAGCGGTAACGATACAGACCGGCTTCTGAGGGTGTGAAGTCAAGTTGAGCGCGAAGACCATCAATAGTATGTGCTCTGGTTTCAACGCCTTTCGCATGCTCGATGACGTACCGAAGCCGGAACGGCGGAGATCCAGTCAAATCCAAGTCAACGAGTAGACCGACAGGATTATTTGCGCATTTGTCGAAAACTCTTTCATACTTGACGGTCACGTCAGGCTCCGGTGGGTTGCGTAGGTAACAAGATGATGGCTCTAGCACTTCTCCGGTACAATATTGACTGGAAAGAGAATTCAGCCTGTACCAGCCCGGGTCCTTGATCTGAGGCTTGTGGTCAAGATTCCTCAGAGATGCCTGGCGTATTTTGCTTGGAGACTCTCCAAGACTCGATTGAGTCTCACCATTGAATGTGTAGACCAGAGAGAAGGGCCCGTCATTCTCGTATCCTTGTCCTGACTGGTGATACTTGAGGGGTAGGTCCACGCTTGCCCCATGTGCGACTTCAAGGAAACTCTGATCATTGCAGCCGGACAAGGAAAGCCGAGGCCTTTCATGAACAGAGAATTCATGCCATTGCGAAGGGTAATTTGTAGATAGTCTGTCAGTGATATCCAAGAGCTTTGAATAATTCGCGACGTTGCCAGAACCGTCATGGACTTCCTCGATCGTATATGTCCATTCGCCGCCAACATTAAGAGACTCGTTCAACGGAACCTCAATGGTTTGGCTGCGGGCCCAAGTCACGTCCAAGTCCTTCGCGTTGAAGAGAGTGCCGGTTGTTCGCTGGCCTAATAATGGCGAACGCAGATAATCAGGCTGAATGTTCTGGAAAGAGAAGCCCCGGTCAAGCCTGTTGACCTGCCTGCTGTACTTGATTTTAAGGGGAGGAGTGCCCTCGACCACCAAAAGCAGGTTCGAAAGCTCTCCTCGGCATTTGTGAATCGGGGAACTCTTGATCGTTGCCCGAGGGCACGAGGCAACGAGAGCGTCAGATGATCTCATATGAACGTCGAGATTTGACTCATCTACTACTCTTTGCAGCCGATATATTCCGGGTCGTTTGACGGAGAACATGAGATCACGATGGAGATTGGACGCTGTTTTCGGGGCAGATTTTTCTGCTTGGCGTTTCATATGTTTCAGCTGCTTTGCTGATATTGAGATGGTTTCATTGCCACCGGTGTCATAATCCAGGCGTAACAGCTCTATCAAAATTGGATCGGTTTGATTAATACGTATAGGTAGATCGATAGCAGTTTTCTGAGTATCGATACAGAGAGGTATGTGATCAGGATTTAGGATTGCAGAGCTGGCATAGCGCGGTTAGTCGAGGTCGAAGTCATCTCAGATCCAGAAACTCACCCCTCCGGTAATATATGGACGATTTGCTTGCCCAATATAAGAGACGCGTTGTGGATAATATCGCCCGGTTTGACACTCCGTTCTGATATAGACAATTCCCGATCATAAGCTAGTTTGATTGCCCCGGAGACCCAAGCACCCACAGGAATCTACAAGGATGTCAGTGGAGGCTTTGTTGATGTGCGCGGCGTGAGGTCAAAGCATACAGGGATTTGAAACATGAGAAAAATGTTTCCAGCAACATGAATCAAGAAGATGGCTAGTGTTGTAGGGAAAGCCCATTCTAACCAGGGAATTCGCAGCGCCTGCAAGCCGAAGAGGAAGACGCCATCGACGGCTGCCCATTTGAGAAACAGCCAGGTCGAATCGAGATCGTCAGATGCAGTCCAGGACTCGTATACGCGCCAAGTATTGAGGGCCAGGTAGAAAGCCGCAACGTAAAGTCGCTGCGACGGAGCGTCGATAACATTAGCTGGTATTAGGAGCGTGTTTGCAGCAGGTGGGCTCGTAGTGACTTTCACAGACGACTTCTGGACTACCCCATTGTGCAGCCCAGGCCGAGACGGGGTATTGTTACTGTAGTTGCTAAATCTCGAAACGGTTTGTGGTGTCTGCGGAAAAGCAGACCGGAGCCGGGGAGTGCCGTTCATGGCATGCTGCAATCATAGAGCATGCGGGAGCTGCACCCAGAAGGACTTTGGAGTTAGCTTCAGCATTACTGGCTGGTAGATTTTCCGAGTATAAAGATACCTCCGTGTGTGTGTATGTGGAAGATGCCTCGTCCTGTGAAGCCCGCACCCGCCCTGATGCAAGCCAAGGTAGAAAAGTTGAGCTAGGGGTCGGCTGAAGAAATGGGTGATGACGATGGTGAACGTGATGTCACGCAGGATGAAGAGAGATGTTTGTAATATGAACCTCACCCGAAATATAGGAATGACGAAACTGAGCGAAGGGACTGAGTTGCAGTGCAAGTTCTTGAGACAGGGCGAGAGGTGAGCTTAAATGAATGGAATGCTTTGGCGCTTGTTGCAGGGCTTGAAGCAACAATGGGTTGGCGGTCAACAGCACAGTACGTAATTTGCTCCACGCCAGCGGATATGTATTGTTACGGTACTAGTACACTACATACCACGGTCTGCCTGGCATGAGGTCGTCACTGGTGCCTCTCACTGCCCTCACTGCAACATTGAGAGCACCAACGAATAACAAGCACTGCCCATTCCACCTTTACCAAGAGATACACGGCTGTAAGCCGCATGCTTCTACATGATCGAGAATACAGTCATCTCCTTCTATCTTGGCTACCTGGAGAGGAGCCTAATTGGCACGATCATCGTAAGTTGGCGGCAATGTATGTATGTACAGTACTGTGCAGCATCCATATCAAGGATTTGTTCAGCCGCTCACGATTCCTATCTTCTGCGAAGACAGCAGCAACTATCACCGCACCTGGGCTGTTATTCAATGTACCTCATTAAGCCAGACAATTTCTCCATAGTATCTCAAGCAGCAACCTAGGGAACCGTTCTCACAACTTAGCATGGTTGAGCGATTGACATTTTCCTTAAATTACATACGATCTTTGAAGCAACGACCATGGCCCATTGCGGCAGGAGAACGCAATCTTCAGGCAAAGAGTGCAGTGACCCTAGTCATGAGCTCTGCGTGCTTACCTCCCGGATCGAGAAAGATGATTGGAATGGTTTCTGCGAACTAGAGTCCGAACCTGTAAGCTCTGGGACAATTCTTCAGGGGCGGGGCTATGCTGAACCACCTTTTTAGGCGCTCTTTAATGTCATGCTTCGCGAGTTCGGCGTAAAGGGGGTGAAGGTTCAGGAGGTAGTATCCTTGGATGAGGATATGATGGCGATGCTAAAGTGTGTGACTTGTGATCCACGCATTGCATGATCCACGGGCGGTTAACTAGTTTGACAGCAAGCCGGTCTACGGATTGATATTCTTGTCCCGCTGGCGGGAGGACGACCCCGACAAACAAGAAGCAAGTTGTCCAGAAGGGCTCTGGTTCGCAAATCAGGTCTGCCTGTTCCAACTCGCTTGATGCCAGTTGCCAGATGAGCACTAACCATAGACATAGACGGCGAGTAACGCCTGTGCCACTGTTGCTCTTCTGAATATCATTAACAATGTTGGAGATATTGACCTCGGGGAGAATCTGCAACACTTCAAAGAGTTCACTATGCCCTTCACGCCGGCACTCCGAGGTGATGCAGTCAGTAACCATGGATTCATTAAACGGGTACACAATTCGTTTGCGAGGTAGCCATGTTTTGTAGCCTGCCTTTTCTACAATGGTCTTTCTAACGTTTGGACAAAGGCGAATGGATATACTCAATGCTGATCACCAGCTCAAGTCCGAGACAACATCAAAGCGATCTCGCACCCAATGCGAGCAGGAGGACGCCGACATGGCTTTCCATTTCATCGCCTATGTCGCTGCGTTAGGAAAAGTCTGGAAATTCGACGGGTTGGAACGTCAACCGCAAGTGCTTGGTATGGTGCCCGTAGCCCATAGCAGCCCATTCTAACGGTGTCCACGTATAGGACCTTGTCAATCCGACGATGACTGGTTGAACCTAGCCAAGCCCAGCATTATCACACGAATGAAAGAATACGAAGAAGGTCAAATCGAGTTTTCAATGTTGAGTCTTGGTCAGGATCCGCTCCCTGGACTGCTTGACAAATTAGCAATGAACGTGAAGTCCCTCGAAGTGATTAACCAACGTTTGACTTCAGCGGCTGATGCGTTGCCATTCGATGCTGTTAAACTCGGGAGTATCCTCTTGGGACCCGATGAGTCCTATACACTCTCCAGAGACATGATCGATCGAGCAATCATTCCTGCACCGCAGGAGCAGGAGTACCGGACTTGTGCAGTGGCGGACCTCGAATCCCTATGGCACAAGCTCATTGGCATCCAGCGCACGCTACAAGCGTCCGTTCGGGAAGAACAACAGTCTAGGCAGGCTGATGATGACTACGCGGAAGGTCGGCGCTTTGACTATAGTCCTGCCATCCGCACATGGCTCCAACTCCTAGCCCGCAAGCAAGTCATTGAGAAGCTGTTGTGAACTCGGGAATCAAGTCTTGAAGTTGATCATTTCAAATTTCAATTCCAGTGCGTACATTATTGTAGACCAAGCGAGGCTATCCTTTTTGATCATATAAGAATAATAGGTTATTATCAGAATTCTTAACAGTGACGTACGGACTGACCGCCGGAGATTGCGCCCCCCCAAACTCCCCGCCCTCCCTCCCTTACTAGTATAAGAACGTCACCGCCTGGAGTCCAGTGCGCGCCCGCCGTCGGCGATTGTCCTGAGAAATCCCGGTTCAAAGGGGGTTATTGTCATTAGACCGTGCTGGCATCGACTCTCTCTTTTTGTCTCCTCCTGGCTGGTCCTTTTGTGCTTGTCCCGCTCACAAGAAGCTCTTGCCCCTGGCTCTGCTGTCCTCTTCCTTTCTTCCAAATATTACTCGAGTTTTTGAGACTTGATCGCAGCACTTTTGGGGGGTCAGTGGACAAGGGACAAACCAGCTTCCATTACCTCTTTCGCACTTGCTTTATACACGCCTACTTTCTTTCTCTCTGTTTTAGCCTCGCCTGTCGAATCACGCATATACTATAACCTTCTCAAAATACCTAATATTTCGCAGTTCAGCGCGACCTCCCCGCAACCTCCCCTTCAACATGTCCGCCACATCCTCTACATCTGAAAAAACACCAGATGATTCATCCAAGCTGAAGACGTTCTTGTCCATACTTCGAAAGTATTCAAGCCACGTCCACCCCTAAATCTGATGGTACTGACTAGTGACCTCGTCCTCTAGGTTTGTCGGAGTGGCTGACATCGCCTCCGTCCGCTTCTCCTTGCCTGCACATCTTCTGGAGCCGACGCCCAACTTGGGTAAGTCGTTATTCTAGCCAGACGGCTAAATGCCCCCTTCGCGGCTGAACATCTCGTTAACTTCTTGCGAATGACTGCAGAGTACTGGAATTACTTGGATAGACCGGAGGCTTTTGCAAGGTCAGCGGATTGGGTTACTCATCACTGGGGCTTGTTTTCTGACAGAATATGAACAGCATCGGGCAGTCGGATGATCCTCTGGGACGGATGCTTGAGGTTTTGAGGTTTTGGTTTACCAAGGACTTGGTATGTGTGTGCCATTCTCAGTTGCTGCTCAGCTTGGTGTCAAACCGTGTCACTAAATTTGATTACAGAAATACATCAAGGGCAAGCCCTGCAAACCCTATAATTCCACACTCGGAGAATTCTTCAGGGTGAGCCCGAACCGACGCAATTTGAGCCATCGCTTTTATGCTAACCTAGAACCCTTCTCAGTGTACCTGGGACGTGCAAAGTACACTTCCAGAAGTATCACCAGCTTCCACTTCCAGTATCATAGATGCAACTCCCAGCTCGAAGGAAAGCGATGGCAAACCCGTCAAGGTATGCTACTTGACAGAACAAACATCTCATCATCCTCCAGTATCAGCATTCTACATCGACTGTCCGGTGCGAGGAGTGACGGCTCGTGGTTTTGATCAAATCAGTGCCAAGTTTACAGGGACCAGCATACGAGTCACTCCGGGCCAGCACAACTTAGGAATATTCATCAATCTTCAGAGCAGGAACAACGAGGAGTATCAGTTGACTCATCCCGCTGCACATCTAGGTGGATTGTTAAGAGGTGCTCTGGCCGTTACAGTCTCGGATACGTGCTATATCACTTGCGCTCATACGCGCATTAAAGTCATTCTACAGTATTTGGAAGAGGGTTGGATTGGCCGTGCTCAGAACAGAGTTGAGGGTGTCATCTTTCGCTATGACCCTGACAGCGATACTATTACAAGGATCAAAGACGTACCTCATGGGGATATCCTTGCCAAGATCAGCGGCTCGTGGCACGGGCAACTTTTTTACACTTTGAATGGCTCGAACGAGGCGAGCTTATTGATTGACATCGCTCCTCTCTTTCCGGTTGTAAAGGCCCTACCGCCCGATGAGGAGCAGCTCTCCAACGAATCTCGAAAGTTTTGGTCGGCGGTCACTGAGGCTATCTTGGACAAAAGATATAACCAGGCAACCAAACTCAAGCAGGATATAGAGGAACGCCAGCGACAAAGGGCCGCTGAACGTCAGAAGACGAACGACACATGGCAACCGCGGTTCTTCACTGGCGCCGTAACGCCTCTCGGTAAACCAGAATTAACCGATGAAGGGATGAGGGTACTTGAAGGACTACATAATCATGACTACAAGCTAAAAGAGGGTGAAAAAAAAGGCGCATGATTGCGAGAACACCATGGACTGTCCAATGACAACAATTTGGCCAGCTGGATACTGTGGATGCATTCGCCACACCGCTTTAACATTGAAGCTTTATTCTATGTCGTATGTGTGCCTGCACGTTCTTTGGGAAATAAAGAAAAAGCATATGTAGAGGCTGTCCATCGACCGGGTTGGTCACTGGAGGAATGCTGTGTTCGGCGGGTGTCATATATAGTATAAGATTACTGCAGGTAGATAGACATTTCTAATATCACCATGTGGCGCAGCGAGTGAAAGATGCTATGGCTGAACTACAACCGACTCCTGTGGAGCTCCTTTCGCTGAGCGAGAATCAAGCATGACAACTCAATATATTTTCACTGATAATTGAAAGCGTTGAACCGTAGTAGATATGTTGCTTAGAATTCTGACCCGAAAAGACACTAAAATTAACCCGTTCTGAAACCGAAAACTAGGGAAACGCCTCTCAAAAAGGTACCTGGTTTCAATATCGAGTGTACCTGTCCATTTAGAACTCCATCGGAACCGGACCGATTACATGTGAGAACAATCCAAGACTGAGGAAGGGAGGGAAAAATAATGAAGCGGCATCGGAGCGGCGTCGCTGCGAAAGATAGCCCAGGCTTCTCAGGCATTTGCAATAACAACTTTATTGAAGCCTGCCGTCACTGTCCGGGTAATGTCCTCATTCTTGTGTGGAAGCAGAGACAGGGCATAAGCAACGTCGTTCCATTGGCGTTCAGTCTCGCATCTTGGCAATCGAGCAGCTAGTTTCTCGGCAAGTTGTCGTGCATGTTTCTCCTGATTCACGAGACATCATTAGCATTTTCCCACGGCGATGTGATAAAGAAGAGACATGAGGCTTGGAGATGTACCTTTTCGACGAAACCAACCAGGAATTTAACGATGCGTTTCAACGAAGTCTCCTCGAGGTTGCGTTCCGCGCTCAGCAGGCTGAACATGTCCACAAAGTGATTATAAACAGCGTTGTCCTTGGTGGCCAGTTCCGTGAAGAACATACGTGCCAAGTCGGCAATTCTCTTATCCTCATCCTCGAGGCACTTGGCCATCTCACCCAACTGGCCCTTGACTTTGACCTGGCCCGCCAAGATCAGGAACGTGAGGGTCATGAGGCACGTGCGCTTTACGGAGACATCGTCATCATTCAATCGACGGTAGAGAAAATCAGTGTTCTCATCAATCAAATGGTTGAAACAGACTGCCATGTCTCCAAGAGCGATAACGACATTACTGCGAACTATGGGGTCATCTGAACGCTCCATGATGGTGATTAAAAGTGGAAGATTTTTCTCACAGTACTCCGCCGAAACACACATGAGCTTAGCCATGCAAAGAGTTGCCGCTGCTTGAAGGTCTCGGTCAGAATATATGTTGCTGTTGGCGCAGATCTCCGTAACCAAGGGGCCAAAATTGGAAAGCAGCGACTTGTCCCCGTAGAGCAACTCCCTCTCACGAACATGGGCCATGGCGTCTGTGAAGTCGTCCTCGGTTGTCCCGCCAATAAGATCTAATTCATCCTCCTCCTCTTTGGATTCTTTGTGTACTGATGGTTGCGCAGCCTTGTTCTTTTCCTGTTCTGCCTTGCGGCGCTTGAAGTCAAGCTCACACAATTCCAGGTGAACAATTTGCTTGATCGCGATATGGCCGACAACAAAGAGCAACTGTGACAAACCGGCGGGGGATGTCTTTGGCCCTGCTGCTTGACTCTCGGTGGGAGTGATGCCAGGCTGTTGTTCCTGTCCTTCACCAGGTGCCTGAGAATAAGACCTTTGAGCATGAGTCTGGAAGACAAATCTAGTCTTCCTTTTGAGAATGTCAGAACATAGCACATCTGGATGCTTCGATAATGTATAGATGGCGCTAATAGCTTGCTCCGCCACTCCGTACCACTCTTTGCTCATTGATACAATCTCTATGATAGCCGCGAGTTTGGAAAGGACTGGATGGTCATTTGCCAACTTAGGTATGCCAATGTCTTTTGACTTTGCCTGACGGCCTGGAACCATCCGACGTAGAGCAGTGCATGTATATTTAGCAAGCACAAGGTCGGATTTTCCGAAATTTCCAAGGCCAATCTGTAGCATCGTCTCGATCTCCTTAATGACAACCTCGGGGTCCGCCAACGCCAACATGCCCAGAACAATGATAGCTCCTCGACGTTGTGTCTTCGAGATTTCCTTCTTTTGCACGCCGTAAACTTGCCACAGCTTCGAAATGACGAGTTCAGGTATGTGGCCTGCCTTCATCATGGTGCTCAATAACTGTTCTAGGCAAGTGAGCTCAGCAGGTGTTGCGCCAAAGGTCAAGCTGATCATGTTCCGTGCAATGTAATTTGCAGCATCATTTGGACTGAACGAGTCCGGTGCTTCGAAGAAAAGCCCCTTGTAGCAGTCGATCAGATGGGTTTGGACTCCCTTGCCTTCATCACTATTACCTTTTGTCCAGATGAGTCGCAGCATTCGTCGAATCCCGCTACGGGAAGTCTCAACCTTGTAGGCATCAAGTACGACGAAAAAGTCCATGGCTTCAATAGCCTCGCTTTTATTCCTTGACGATAAGAGCTGAGCAACTGTAGCAGAGCCCACGTGAAGGACTTCAATGAAACGGATGGCCTCGTTGTAATATTTTCTTGTTAGCTGGAGTCGTGTGAGCAGTTCTGACGTTGCCGCCTGTTCCGCGGCATGTTTGATTGCTGCTGCTTTCTCTTCCTCAGTCAGACGTGTTGTTTTAGTAGGAGACTCCTCTGGCAATTGAGTTGCATCATCCAATAATACACTATCAATATGGGATGCATCACCGCCTTCAAAGCCCTGTGTTTCAGGGGGTCTCAGCGCGTTCAGCTCAGCATCTACTCCATCGAGCCGTGCTGCCCACTCTTTAAGTGAAAGCTGCCCACCATGCATAACACCGAATGGATGGGTTGAGACCAATTTGGCAAGCAGTTTAATAGCATTCCGTCGTACATTGCTGCTTTTGTCTTCCAGACTTCTCGCCGCCAGCTCCGCAACGGCATGTCGTCTTTTCGGAAATTTTTGTTCCAAGTCGCAAATTCTCATACATACCTGAATGGCCCGGCACCTGCAGTAAGGATTAATGTCAAGAAAGCGTTCCTCTAGAACGTCGAAGAAAGCGTTTATTTGGGTTTTGTAATTATCGCCCCGTTCTTCTTGACGACTGAGGTCGGATATCAAGTTTCCACAGACTTCAATCACTGCGCATCTCAGGGTGTAGGACTATATAGAAAAATGAAAGTGTTAGAGTATTAGCCTCCTCGCCGGATTCCTGAGAGGCCGAACCTCGCTGTCTAGCTGTTTAGCTAAGAGAGTCATCTGCTTGATGATCAACCGAGGTGCCAGCTCTGAGAGTCTGATGATGAAAGAAGACACAGATTTCGGTCCGCGAGTATCATTGGAATTGAACTCTTTGTTCCCAAGCTCCCTAGCTTCCGTCAGTAAATGCACAAGATGGGCAAGACAGCGAAAATATACTTTAATATCTCATCCGAGAGTTGGGGGTAGTCATATTGTTCGGCGAGGATGTGCAAGAATTCTGCCATCGGTTCGGACAAGTGCTCAAAATATGTCAGGCTTTGTACAATAGATGTCTGGGCCCCTAGACGTTCGTATTAGCGGTAACTATGGGCTTCAAGTCGAAAACCCACCAAATGCATGTCCATGGTGTTTCACCGCGATGCAGAGGACCTTGAAGGCATGCATCCGAATGCTCATGCTCTTAACGCGGTGCTCACTCTCCAGGATCAGATAGATCGAGCGGGTGAACAGGTTGATGAACGTATCACGGTCTGAAGTTGTCAAGAAAATCCTGCCCAGTTTCAATTTCATCACTTTGCACATGGTTTCCATTGCGGCTTGAATCTGTGCTGTCCAGTCCCAATTTCCATCCTTGGTATTAGCCTTAGATTTGGTAGATTTGCCTGCGCCTCTCCTGGCAGGAGCAGCCTCCGTTGGCCTTTCAGCAGCTTTGAGCTCAACAGCCGAAAGGGCCCATTGCAGTAGAAACCCGTACATCTCCAATAAGGTTTTATGCTGCTGGATGGCGTCCTGCTCGTCAGATTCGAGATCGCCATGGATAATATCTGCTTCTACCGAGAGGCCGGAAACGACAAGATCGAGGAGTTTGCTCAAAGTGCGGGTGGGGGAAAGGACGGAGTATCTGTGGGAATATAAAAGTTCAGATCCAGACCCTCGGGCAACAAACAACTTTGAAATGGGCAGAGAAGGTGCTGGTCGTTCAGGGCGTACTTCAAGAGGAATTGCAATGAATCATAGAAAGATCCCCTGGCGAGGCCTTCTGGATGTTCAGCAACGGCATCCACGATCGGATTAAGAACATTATCGATAACGACGGGTGACAATTGATCTGGGTCGGTTTCGCAGTCTAGCAAGTCGGGATCGGCATCGAGCGTAGGCACGGAGGCGGGATCGCTCAAATAGAATTTAAGCGACTTATTAATGTCGAACTGAATGCGATCTTCCATGTTGAGTGACGAGCGAGGGAGGTCCTCGCAGGACACGCGACTTATGTGGATGAGAGAGGGCAAGGTGAAGGAGGGATCCTTATTGCGAGGGTTGGTGATACTTCAGGTGGGGAAATGGAAGGACGGGAGGGGGAAAAGAGGAGCCCGAGAAACCAGGCGGCGACAGGCGGGCGTGAGCCCGTAGTTTGTTTGTATTTTTCCCATTTGGGTGTTGATAAGGGCACACTGCGTCCGCGCTTTCGGGATACATAGTCACAATATTATCAGATTGAATAGGATTTCTAACGCGATAAGTTACCGGTGACACGTACCATATTTGCCTCCTTGGGTAGGCGGTATGTATCGTACAATTGGAAACCCGGGCACACTCGGGCTTCCCGTTACAAGTACATACCTACGTATAAACAAACAACTCACTAATTATACCGGAACGGGTGATTCTGTACCGCTGCCCTGAGACGGTGGATTGAGCAGCCCAGAAGCATCTCTGACCAAACCAATCCCCCCCCCGCCTCCGATTCCTGACGAAGTACAGTATCAACCTGGGACGAAACATAGACCAATTGCCAACACGAGAAGCTGTGTGCTCTCTTCGTCATCACTCCTCTCTTTCAGAATTGAACCTGTTTGCATGCCAGCATAACATACGGACTAATCTTCGGTCCAGACTTCCGCAGTCGCGCCAACCATCGCTGCGCCCTTTGGTGCAATGTCCGCCTTTCAAGCAGCGCCGATTGAACTCTTTGGTGTTCAGCGGCCAGAACCATCTGGCTCAGTCTACGATTATGAACACCGGGATGGGGTCGTGACGAATAGC